CCCACGCAGTAGCAATATCGTCAGGATCTTCGTTAGGGTGTAGGTTGCGAAGATGCTCCAGCGTGTCGTTGTTGCGCGGTGAAGGTGCTGGGGAAATTAAGGCACTGGCAGCTTTAGTGATGCCTCCGCTTTCGTGCGCACGTCTTGTGGCTCTTCTTTGGCGATTGTCTTCAGTATTCGCATAATACTGAAGTCGACGATTCTTCTCGTACATCATGAGCCAGGCGATAGGTTCACTCAGATCACCATTTGCAAAGCGGTTAAATCGGGATACCCTGTTCATCCTTCCATCAGTCGATCCATGCAATGCTGGGGTAAGATGAAGCAACTTTGTTGCTCGGACAAGTTGGAGTTGTCTTTCAACACGTGCTACTTCATATCTTTCCGCTGCAAGAGGAGACAGATCTGAGGTATCTGACTTGTGCTGATCTATGTGTACAGCTCCAAGTGCTTGCACGAAGAGGATGACGACATGTTGGAAGTGTTTGCAAAATACTTTCGCCAGTTGCGGATCGATGTGTTTGACTGTCGAAAAAATTGACGTGTGTGTTTGTATTATTAGCATCGACCGCGCTAACTGGCTGACCAATGAAAAGACGTCAGTCTCAGTGCGGTTGAAAACACAGAACAACACTTTTATCTGCCATGAACTGGGACCCCGTGAGGGGGCAGCATGAGGGAGAGGCTAAACTATCCTTCGGGTAAAAGTGTGTGCGTGTTGTTGTTTGCGCGTCTTCTTGTTATGTAGTCTATGCGCGACCCGTTGGTTCTGTTGTCCGTCGTGTGTAACGCATTTATTTGTGGCGTTTGTCGTTGGTCGCTGCTTGCCGGTATTGCCGCTGGCATCTTCCCGTGCCTGGTAATCCCCGGCCTGCCCCCCCCGTCCCTGGGGTAGGTCGAGGTTCAGCAAGTGGATCTAGACCTCGAAAGACCACCCAGCAACGACGGCAATACGGTCCCTAGCACTGTTTAGAGGGGGATCCTGAGTTTGGCGGTTGGGAGTTACTGCTGTCGTGAGATCGGGGTATAGCTCCTGAGCCGCCAGCTTTGGTAGCTGCAAAATGAGACTGGATCCTGACGCCCCGGCTTGGACACCGGGGCTATGCAGCAGCAGAGAGCACGGTGAGGGTGGCGGAGTGGCCGCACGCCTTGGGGGTATGCAAAAGAGAGAGGAAAGGAGAGAGTCCAGAGATGGAGGGCCACACCGCTCCGGGACAAGAAGAAAACTCTATGGGAAACAAGGCAAAAAACGGGGTATATATGACGTTAGCCCGAGTGTTCGCAAGAAAATAGTAAAAAAACAAAAAAGGAGGGAAAGATGGAGGAAAAGGAGGGGTCGGGCGGCGCGTAGGCTAGCTAAGAGAGCAGCGCTCGCCGCGCGAAAGAGACAGCAGGGTCAACTTCTTAGGGTAGCAACCTGGAATGTGCGGACTTTGGCTGTAAACGGGGCCAATAGATACGGGCGAGCCCACAGCGTTCTACACGAGGCAGCGAGACAAGACGTATCGGTGGTAGGAACGCAGGAGACACGGAGGGCAGGTCGAACGGAATTTGCAGCAGCGGGTTTCCGGGTGTTCTGCTGTGGCACGGAGGCTGGTGGAGTCCATGGTGTGGGGATAGCCGTCAAAGAGTCACTGTGCAAGACATCCACGTTCACTACGGAGTTTATCGACGAACGCCTTATGGCCATGAGGTTTCTGTTGGCAGGCCACCGTGGAGCGGTCAACTTCGTAGCCGCGTATGCTCCAACCGAACCTTCAACCGCCGACAGCAAGCGCGTGTTCTGGGGAAAACTTGACAGTCTCGTGCGGAGGATCCCTTCCAAAGAATGTGTGCATGTCCTACTGGACGCCAACGCGCGGAACTGAAATAGGTTGGACGGAGGGGACGGAAGGGTAATAGGAATGTACGGGCGTGATGAGCTCAACGAAACGGCCGAGTATCTAACGTGGTCGTCATCCCCCAGCCGGTTCGCCCAGTAAAAGCAGACTCAGACCACAATATGGTAGTAGCCACCGTCAACCTTGGTGGCAGGCTTGCCCACAACC